ACGCGCGGACTCAATTAACAGGCATGTCGAGCTTCCTGATGCCTACCTCAGGTCGCGCGAGCAGATCGAGGGCAGAGGTCAAGGGCAAAGGTCAATCCCGGCAGAACCAATTCAATTACACTGTAAGCTGTACGTTTTTTCATGCCTTGACGATGAGCTCGCGGGATAGTTCGAAACGTCGGACAAATACACTCCTAGCCCCAGAGAACGAACTTCCATATGTTATTTAAAAACACCTGAAAGAACCGTGGAACAGAAGAAGGCCCAGAACACAGACTGACAGAAACCACACCTACCAGTCAGGTCTCACAACATATAGCTATTGATTTTTCTGCATGTTTGAAAATTTAGTTGTTCTTTGCCCATTTCTTGTTAGTCCAAAGACGAGCTGGGAAACCAGTCTCAAAAATTTGCTCAATAAATCTTCATAATTATCCCAACGAACGCCTATACCTGAATTCATCTTTGTTTGCAGATGAAGAAGATGAGTAAACGTGTGGGGACCAGTGATCAACTTCTTCGTTGAACTCATTCGCAGAACGCTGTCGTATGCAACACAATACGTACCTTTAAATAACTGCCGGTTGTTTGAAAGGAGAGTCAGAAGACACTGTTGATAAGATCTGTCCTAAAATATTGGCTCACGCACCGTCCTAAATATCCACCCAATATCGCGATATAAATCGTAAATAGGGCTCCCATTCGACTCTTCGTTGTTGAGTTCTCTATTGGCGATTCGATGGATTAGCGCCTGTGTAGAAGGACTCAGTGTGGCATACAGCAGCCTACAACATTCCCCCTGAAGTTTTTATTATATTTTTGCATTCCTGCGTCTAATTAAATTACAATGCGAATAGTTCCACGGCTTAGTGCATTAAAATGATTTCCCCCAGGCACCCGCCTCCCGTTTTCATTTTCAGTTCAAATAGTAGCAGATGTATGGCTAATTTCATACCGTTTGGAAGCGTGTGTGTTGGTAGGGGGAGAGAAGGTGGGCTGCAAACCTCCGCGTCGGCACAAACAACCACCGTGATGTTGTAAACAGAGTTGGGTTGCAGGTTCTTCACAGTACAGGACATCTCTGCACTGTATATTTGTGTGATACACATTTTTGTTTCGCCGGCCAGACCTGGTCCAGGTGTTGCCATTACAGTGTACTTAAAGTGGTACGAGGAGTCATTTGTGGGCTTCCTCCAGGAGACCTTGATTGCTGTTGAAGTCACTTCACTGGTGAGGACTGCTTCTGGACCTGCACGTGGAAAATATAGTAGTAATGATACCGTATACTTAAATGTAATTAGTAAGCATGGTGAATATTACTTACTTTGCGGGGGAGTACTAAAATGTTCCGGCGCTGAGGAGTGACTGTGGAGATTGTTGGGGCCGTGCGCAGTCACCGTGGCGATATAAAGTGAATTTGGTTGAAGATCATTAACTATGCATATCAGATTAGTGGCATTGACAGCAACTGAGCAAGTGGAAACTTCGTGGTTGCGTAGAGATGTCACAGAGACAAGGAACTGGTATCTGTGATGATCCCCAGGAGGTCTCTCGAAGGAAATGTGGGCGTAAGTGGGTCCAAAGTCAAGGACAGAGACCCTCCTTGGTGCTGTTTTTTTAAAAAAAAAACCAGTCAATCATTTAAGATGGAAATCTTCCATAAAATGAGTTAATGTCTATAAAATAGCGACAAGGCCTGAGAAGGTTTTTCTGGCTGAAAACTAGATGCATTGACATTGCCATGTCAAACTGTATATATGAATATATGAAACAAGAAATGAGCAAGCTGTTGTACTAATACGTGGGACGTCTGCAGTTACCTTCGGAAGATGCATTGATTGTTCTTCTTGTATCAAGCCTGATTAAAAAATAATTTGAATAATAGTGTTTACTTAAATGTAGTAAGTAGATTAAGACGTGATCGAGGGCAGACGAGATATTTCTTATGCTGTTGAATGTAACGGATCAAGAGTGCGCATTGGTGCGCGCTGTACTCTAAAGAACCGGGACTATTTAAACTCATTTTCGACTCCGCGTTCTGGAAGAGCAGATATTTCTGAGATGAGCACTTATATTTTGATAAACATACGAAAGTGATCCAGGTGGTCATATGTGGAAAGAAACTTTCTAGAAGACGCACTGCACTGACGGAAACACTCCAGCATTCTGGACGACTCATGGTTTAAGTGGCTACTAATTTCGGAGGGTTCTGATTAAGCGGTCGACTATAGGCAATCTGTGGCGGACGCCCACGCCCCACCGTTCGTTCTCTAAGGCTCGCTGCCCCATAGTCATGTCGTCACAAACAACTATTCCAATGCTTTCCTTCACTGGCGCCCACGCCCCCCGAAGCTTTACCTCGCAGCTGCTTCTGGCTAACCGATAACAACTGCGTCAGCCTCCCCCGTTATTTGGCGTGCCGGTGGGCCCGACAGTTGACCTCAACTTAATAAGCACGCCTGCCTAAGGACCACTTGATTAAGACACCCCTCGGTCGATGCAGAAAATACCTCTACAGACGACATCCGCTCCGGCAATTGCAACACACCAGTGACAGAACACTTGAACTCGCTTCACAGTCATGTAAAAGCAACTGTCACCACCGCACACAAAAGACAGTCA